GTTTTTGTGTTTTGGTCAGTTTTTCTAATACTGTATGCAATAGGTCAACTATATTTGGTGTATGGAAATATTTTACGATGTACATGTCAGTCTGGTAGGTTTTATTTGACCTTGACCTCATTTTCACGGTTCATTGCTCAATGTTAAGTTTTTGTGTTTTTGTCTGTTTTTCTAATACTGTATGCAGTAGGTCAACTATATTTGGTGTATGGAAATATTTTACAATGTACATGTCAGTCTGGCAGGTTTTATTTGATCTTGACCTCATTTTCACGGTTCATTGCTCAATGTTCAGTTTTTGTGTTTTGGTCTGTTTTTCTTAAACTTTAAGCAATAGGTCCACTATATTTGGTGTATGGAATGATTGTAAGGTGTATATGTCTGTCTGGCAGGTATCATCTGACCTTCACCTCATTTTCATGGTTGATTGGTCAATGTTCAGTTTTCTTGGTTAACTTTGTTTCTTAGATACTTTAAGCAGTAGGTCAGCTATATTTGATGCACGGAATGATTTTAAGGTATACATGTCTGTCTGGCAGGGTTCATCTGACCTTGACTTCATTTTCATGGTTCATTGGTCAGTACAGAATTTCCATGGTTTGGTCTGTTTCTTTTATACTATAAGCAATAGGTCATCTATATTCTGTGTATGGAATGATTGTATTAAAGGTGTATATGTATTACCGGCTTGGTTTATCTGACCTTGACCCCATTTTCTTGGATCATAAATGTTAATGTGATACTTGTAGTAAAACTTTATATGTAGGACTATCAGCATAAAATCAATGGTCAGTATAGTAGGCGAGACATTTCAGCGTGTGCACTCTTGTTTTAATTTGCAGTGGTGTTGTTTGACTCTGCTTTAGTCTATCAGGAAATACACCAGTTTCTAAAAATAAATTTATTAGTGTTGTTAATTATACTATGGCACAATGATAGGTTTTTAATATTTCATTTCCTTTGCTGGTATGCCATATACTTCAGTAGTCTTTTAAGCTCACCTGGCCCGACGGGCCAAGTGAGCTTTTCTCATCATTTGGCGTCCGTCGTCCGTCGTCGTCGTCGTTAACTTTTTACATTTTGAACTTCTTCTGGAGAACCACTGAATAAAATGAAACCAAACATGGCATGAATGTTCCTTATGAGGTGCTGACCAAGTGTTTGTACTTTGTAGCCGATTCATCATCGAAGATGGCTGCCTACGGGGGGGAGGGGGGCTTCGTTTAGCATATGGACAATACATACGAATGTCTTCTTTTAGAGAACCATTGAATGGAATGAAACCAAACATGGCATGAATCTTCCTTATGAGGTGCTTACCAAGTGTTGTTACTTTGAAGCCGATCCATCATCCAAGGTGTCCGCCAGAGAGGGACTTATTTTAACATAGGACCCTATGGGAAATACATACAAATGTTTTCTTTTAGAAAACCACTGAATAGAATGAAACCAAACATTGCATGAATGTTCCTAATGAGATGCTGGCCAAGTGTTGTTACTTTGTAGCCAATCAATCAACCAAGATGGCTGCCAACGGGGGACTTCGTTTAAAAAAGGACCCTATGGGAAATATATACAAATGTCTTCTTCTAGAAAACCGCTTAATGGATTGAAACCAAACATGGTATGAATGTTTTTATGAGGTGCTGACCAAGTGTTGTTACTTTGTAGCTGATTTATCATCCAAGATGGATGCCAGCAGGGGGAGTAAGTTTAACATAGGACCCTATGGGAAATACATACAAATGTTTTCTTCTAGAGAACCACTGAATAGAATGTAACCAAACATGGCATGAATGTTCCTAATGAGGTGCTGACCAAGTGTTGTTACTTTGTAGCCGAACCATTATCCAAGATGGCCGCCATCAGAGGACTTAGTTTAACATAAGACCCTACGGGAAATACATACAAATGCTTCTTCTAGAGGAGCACTGAATGGAATGAAACCGAACATGGCATAAATGTTCCTTATGAGGTGCTGATGAAGACCTTAATACATGTATCTTTATAGATTGAGATCTACTGTAAACTGCAAAAATATCAAGAAAAGAAGATCTACACATAAGTCAACATGAGCAAAATTGTCAATTAGCATCTTGTTGGAGTTATTGTCCTTATAAAGTCATTTTCTACAATTTCAATGAATTTATTGGTAATTTCTGTAAACTTTACCAAAGTCTTCTGCTTTTGATTAAATTACGGGGCCAATATTAAACCAAATTTGGCCTCAATCATTATTAGGGTACCTGTTATGATTTTAATCTATTTTTACATGATTTCCAAAACCAAAGTAGAACCTTGAGAGCCTCTAGTTAATGTTAATTATGTTTGTAATTTTTGCTACATTTTCTATTGTTGTTTTCTGAAAATCAAATTGTGTGTTAGTGCAATTATGATCTTTTATTTGCAAAACACTAGCAGGAGTTGGTGGGTCGTATGTCACATCACTGCCAATCTTGCCTGCAACTGTCAAAAAAAATGTAATAAACATCTTTGGTGTTATCAAGATTTTGTTGTTTTCTCATAAAGAATTTTTTGTTCCCCAGAGTGACATTTTTTCTTAGAAAAACGGCTTTACAGTTGTCCAAAAGTAACTGTTTTTGGCTAGTTTTGCATGGACACTTTTTTAAGTTTTGTAACAAGGTTTAGCTGTTTTCTATATTTTCCCAATGATTTTGAATCATTTTAACATGACATTTAAGTAGTCACACGATTTACATACAGTTTAATAAATGGCCAATTCCATATCGGCCTGGTTGTCATTCCGAGGTCCCCATTAGAGGAGCTACCGATTGGCTGATAGCTTAAGGGATAATAACCGGGTCGATATGGAACAGGCCAGAATTAATAATCGGTTTATCGTATACTTCAGATTCTAGGTTCTAGGTTAGACGATCTTATCAATGAATGTGATTACATACCAATATGGAAATAATATCAGTGTGCCATTAAAATATACATATATTAGAATATATAACCTTTTTAGGAAGACCAACACCAGACTGATATGAAAATCGGAGAATAATAGAAAATTGATAAATTGCTTAAGTCTCCCATTAATAAAAAATATTGAATGAAACCTTACGCAACTAGCATCAATATAACTTTTAATGTTTTTTATGTTATTCATTGTTATTCAGGATATTATCATTAATGTAAATAAAGGAAAATGTTCTTCAATTTACAAGAAACGTTTTTCTCGTATTTTGATTTTGATTTATCAAACATCTAAGATAAATAACTGAAAATTTAATGAAAATTTTTCATTAATTGAACTCATCATATACTAAGCAACGATATGTCCAGTCTTGCATATGTAAAAACCGAAGTCGAATTTCATTTATCAAAACAATAATCTAGAGTAAAATAAACGATTTCATATGCGATTTTCAGCCTGGGTCCGCTCGTAAATCGGAAATGTATGATGAATAGATAAATCTATGACCTTTTCCATTTCTGTCCAGTTATTATCCATCGGCCTTTACCATATAAAAATAAGGAGATGTGGTATGATTGCCAATCCACCAAAGTTCAAATGAAGTGGATGTAAGCAATTATAGGCAACCGTACGGCCTTCAACAATGAGAAAAACCCATACCATATGGTCGGCTGTAAAAGGCCCCGACATGAAAAATATGAAACAATTCATTTGAGAAAACTAACGGCCTAATTCATAACAAAACAATTTACGTTAAAAAAATATGACAGACATGAACCAACGACAACCACTGAACTACAGGCTCTTGACTTGGGACAGGCACATAAAGAATGTGGCGTGGTTAAACATGTTTGTGAGCACTCAACCCTCCCCCTAACCTGGGACAGTGGTGTAACAGTACAACATAAGAACAAACTATAAAAATCAGTTGAAAAAGGCTTAACTCATCAGATAGATACACATAGAAATACATCTAACAAAAACAAAGAGTGGTCGTGGACGGGTATTTATATATCCACACAACAAAAAGACACTAAGTACAGATCTGAGACTACTCGCAGTTACCAGACTGTTACCTTCATTTCTGTCATTAAACTATTTTTTCAACTCACTCAATTTATCTGTTTCACAAAGTTTTCATTTCTTATAACATATCAGGGGCGGATCCAGGATTTTCAAAAGACAGCATATTTCCATACATCGTAATAGATACTGCCTTTCCTAAAAAAATCAAAAATTTGTGGGCCCTGTACGCCCTATCCTGGATCCGCCACTGCGTATGTCTAATGGAAACATTAACATTAATAACATTCACAATACATACAATTTGTTCATTCGGAAACACTTTTTATCCAATGACCTAGAAATATTCCTTACTCCACGTGTCTACATTTTCTTTATTTATTATTTGTCTTGTCTATCAGAAGTTCCAATGGATACTTAGTGATAAATAGTACCTTTAATATGTAATTACTGTTGAAATAAATATTATATATTATTCCGACGGAAACAAATACTGAAATACTTCTTTCTTTGGAAATAATATTACAAAATATTTCTTCCAGTTGGAACTAATATTATAAAGGAAGTTCTATTCCATGATACTAATAAGTAAAACTCATTTGCCCCAAATCTAAAAGTTTTAAAAACTTTAACAGAAACTTGCTTTTAGCTAATGGGGACATTATCTGATAGGGAATTAATGCCTTATTAACCTGTTAGTTATCTATAATGCTGGTATTAAAGAGTTGATCGCCTTTTCTGAACTAAAATTTAAATACGTTATTCTACATAATGATATTCCTGATAGAAGTTAAGAGAAGGAAGTTTCATTGCTTAAAAAATAAATAAATCAGAGTTTAATCCCTCAATTTGTTTATGGCATTTGTTTTATCTGAATAGTTTCGGACATTTGATGTTGATTTGTTGATATTCGTCTATTGTTAAAGATCGAATGATGAACTTAAATTGGATGAATTTTGCATTTTGTGTTGTTGTCTCATCTCCTTCATAAACAAGTGAAATTCATATGATTAAATTCATACATTTATTTCTTTTGCAGCCGTACATGACTCTTAATAGAGGAACACCCAACAATTCAAATAGAAAAGGTTCTATCAAATCATTGAGTTCACAACGACGTGCCTCGTCCTCGACTTCAAGTACACAGGGACGAATGGACGATAAAGGAAATCAAGAAATGCCAGAAACTTTGAAGGAAAAGTTATTATTGAGAAACAATTTCACTCCTCTCGACATAGAGAAATATACCTTACCACGAAAACTGGAAATTCCTTCAATAATTAAAGAAGAATCGAAAGCATACTCAAGTCAATCGAGATCAAGGTCTGATTTGTTTTGAGAACAAACGTGATCTAGAGATCAAAAAGGGGGGTGGTGGGGTCTTTCCATTTTTTTCTTTCACTGGTCAAAAATAAGGTAATAAGAACTACACAATACGACGCGACAGAAATTTTATCATTTTTGATATTTTGTACTAATTTTACAACTGATATGTATAGATCAGTCTGTGATACTGTACAATAACAAAAATGCATTACTGCACCAGACGTGCATTTCGAAAATTAATGGCAAACTATATAAACAAATCCATATTTTCTAAACATTTGATTCCGACATAATGGTTATCGTGTGATGTAATTTTATCAGTGACGTCATGGAAGGTTTTGTATAATATTGTTTTAAATTGTTCGGACTATTTTCCCTCTTAATTAGAATCTATTGCTTTCCTGAAAGAATAAAAAGACTTGAAATAATTCCATGAAGTTTCAACATAAACACCATGTTTTGTAACGATTAACCTTGATCGCCTCATCACAGTGTCTAGGTTAAGGGGAGGATATGGTACCTCATGTGTATTATGATTTGCCTCATCACAATATCCAGGTTAAGGGGAGGATATGGTACCTCATGTGTATTGATTTGCCTCATCACAATTTCCAGGTTAAGGGGATGATATGGTACCTCGTGTGTATTGACTTGCCTCATCACAATATCCAGGTTAAAGAGAGGGTATCGTGGATTATATTTGCTCAATCATTATCTAGTTGATGTTATGCCTTATGCTTTTGTTGTTTTATACATATTAAATATCAATATAAAATGTTTATGTGTTTCATTTCAATGAAGCAAATCATGCAGGACATTATTTTCGGACATTATATCAGAGTTGCTACGATAAAATAACATAACATTCGATACATCACTCGTGTTATGGGAATATTCCAAACTTTTTATTGTAATCATGGCTTTGTATTATTAATGATCGTTGCCGCACGGTAATAAATAAAACATTAAAAAAGTCAAAAATGAATATCCTCGGAATCTTCAATTTACATAAAAATGTCATAACAAATGACGCAGTAATATCTCTAAGACAGCTGTACATACACAATCAATCAGGCGCCACACTAGTAGAAGCTTGATAAATAAAACTCCCATGACATAGGGTCAAGGTTTATTTTTTTCCTCTCATAACTATTACTATTTTTCAGATGCATTTTTTTAATTGTCTCTCTCTCTTCCTACAGGTTACGGGTCTTTTCCAACATCTGTAACCATTTTAGGTTGGAAGCTGGAGTGTAAATGTAGATATATGCTATCAGTCTTTTAAGTTCAATAAAGTGTATTATTTTAGGTTGGAAGCTGGCGTGTAAATGTAGATATTTTCTATTAGTCTTTTAAGTCCAGCAACTTGAACTATTTTAGGTTGGAAGCTGGGTGTAAATGTAGATATATGTTAACAAATATAAGAAGATGTGGTATGAGTGCCAATGAGACAACTCTCAATCCAAGTCACAATTTGTAAAAGTAAACCATTATAGGTCAGTCTTTTTAAGTCCAATAACATGTACAATGTTAGTCTGGAAACATTCTTTTGTCCAATATCTTGTACCTGTTTTTGTCTTAACGGATCGATTGATTGTTGGTTGTTTAACGTCCAGTGGCAAATAGTTGATGCATGTTCAGGACGATTGATGTATGTGTAGATATAATTATGTCAACAGGCTTTTGTCAAATCTTACTGAACATAACCAAAACGATGACATATAATAAATGCAGACATATTCTACTACAACGCACTTCAAAATTCCAACGGACTCTTTATGATTTGGTATATGATGAAAGCTGAATTTTACTCACAGGTAATATTTATTTTCAAATTAAGCAAGTAGATAGGTACATTGTTTATAATGATGAAATGTGTATTATTGTATAATAAATGAAATCATTTCAAATTAACTGATAAAAAATGTCCGGCCAATTGAACCTTGTGTCTCTTCATTTAAATTAGCACAAAAATTAAGCATCGACCCATCCACATTCTTTATATGTCTGTTCCAAGTCAGAAGCCTGTAATCCAGTGCTTGTCTTTGGTTGGTGTCTGTCATACTTGTTTTTTGTTTTTTGTTAATTGTTTTGTTTTAAATCAGGCCGTTAGTTTGAATTGTTTAGTATTTTTTATGTCGGGGCCTTTTATGGCTTGCTATAGTTGCTTACATTCATGTCAATTGTTCTCTGCTGGATAGTTGTCTCATGGCAATCAGTTGTATCTCTTTTAATTTATATGAATTGGTATAAAGGCATTTTCACGACGACGTGTAATTATTGGTGTCTTTTTTTTCTTCCTTTTTTTTTTATTATCGACAAACATTTAAACCGATCGTTGGTGTATTGATTTTTTTCGGTTTTCTGTCTCGTTGACTTTTGTATTCATATGTCTGTGAACCTTATCATTCACCATCAGTAAAGTGGGCGGGAACATACAACTTTTAATGACCTGATCAAAAACTCATTCAATTGCTATCTTCCAATAATGTTTTACTTATAGAAAGAAACATTTTAGTTTCAATCATATTTTCATTTCAATTTTAATTAAAATTGTAACGAGAATAGGTAATTATTCAGCTATATTCTGCATCCATAAGTTGTGCTTCTAAGCCCCACCCACCGATCGAATTTGCCGTTTTTACAGTGACATTTACACAAATAAAAGACGATCAATATTTTGTTCACAATCGTTAGTTCAAAGACCATATAAAAATATTGTTCCATGAATTCCTATGTTTAAGATGTAGCAATGTGACTCGAAAATTACAGAGCCTTAACTTTGCGGTTCAATTCCCATATGTACATTTTTTCCCTCACGAATCGGGGATTATAATACTCAATTGAAGTAAAATTACAGGAATATTTTTGATTCACAGTTTAGTATAACAAAATGACTTTTCATCAGAGGAACAAGAGGGATGTTGATATCCTAAACTTTGATGAAAGAACATGCCCTGTTCATATGTTACTATTTTTAAGTTGTTTTCGAAGAATTTTTTTTTTCTAAATTCATTGAATATTTACTGATTAATATTTTGTAAGTCTTGGAGAACATTGATTATACAATAGTTGTAGGCTGCTAGTTGTAGGTGGGTGTCAAATTAGCTTTCAGTAACTGTGATTATTCTTAGATCGATCAGTACTGTGTTTTTGTTTTATTTTTGTATTTGTGCTTCTTGGCAATCTAATGAGTCAAGCCAACCATCTGCCTTAGAGCACTCCAATAATCAATAAGTCGAGCCATTCCAGCTGTCTTTTATATTTTTTCTATGGGAACAAACAATGTTTTTGGACTTACATTATAAGCAAAAAAAAATATATTTACTTACAATAATTTTTTTTTTCATCAACATACATTCCGAACATAGGATTATTTTGAAAACCCAATCAATGTATTTAGTTTTACCCTAAGTTTTTAATTGAAACACTTTTTTTATTCTTTACTTCTGAAACCAGTCTAAAAAAAAATTAAGGACAATAATGTATTTAGAAAAGACCTCGTATGAATCGCCCCTAACACACATATGAAATTATGAATGGTCATTGTCTTGCATACACATTATTTGTTGGATTAGTGAAAGTTGTCTCGTTCGCAATCATACCACATTTCCGTATTTTTACATTGTATGCAAAACAGTCTTCAGAAAACCTTCAAAAGATCAGCATTTAGAAAAGGTAAACAAATCAAGATTTATAATTATCTCCTCTTGAACGTGCATGAAATATATGACACTGGATGTAAAACAAATACCCAATCAATTTCATTACTTTCTATTGTAGATTTTGATAAAGATTTATGATTCATGTTTCACAAATGAATGGAATATATCCGTCATCAATTTCATCTTTTTTTTCAAACCAGCTTAAGGAGAAGGAATGGTGATGTAAAGAAGATCCCTAAGTTGGAAGAGGGGGGTATGCTTACATATTTTCAGTTAATGTCTATGGTTTTTTGGGAGGGGAAGGGGGTTGCCTTTATAGGAAAATACAAAAATAGAAATAATGTATTCATTTAAAAGGTCAAATTGTGATGAATGAAACAACAGGTTATCAACATAGGAAAAAGTGTAATACCCTTCTAAATTTTAGGATTAATGTTACAACTGCAAGGGGGTTTTACAAAGAGAAACAGGCATATGTCAGTGGAGGTGTTTCTCAATGACGTTTTATCAGTCTTCAAGAAGCCTGTTAGGTTTTTCGTTTTATGAGTTTAGCTGTCAATATGATGTATTCCTTTCATCCCCTTTGTCATATTTAGATTTCGCCATATACTTTTCCATCGATCCTGTCATACAGCAGCCGTCACTTACAAGATTTGATTTAATGTAATAATTGAAATTATAAATCCGTCCTGAAACGTTTTCATTGTGGCATGATCTGTGGGCGTGAATTTGTCCTGATCTACAATTATCGTATCAAAATTGAAATTAGAATCACCTCAAGTATTTCTAATCAGACGTTTTCGTATATGACTAATGGCAGTCAAGCTTCCGCGACTTAAATTCGTTCACAATTGATGTTTTAATCCTAACTTTCATCAGTGATCCATTCTTTATGTATTGATTTTGCCAAATGCCCAAGGAACGGAGATGATTCGACGACCAGCACTTTGAAGAGATGAGGGTAGCGGATATGTGTATATTGGGAATGGTCATCGTGCCTGACAAGATCTATCACATCTTACCATATATAGTAGTTTCACAGTTTCTTGTTTTTGAAACATATTTGTAGAAATATAGTATATTTTAAACATACGTGTAATCTTAAAATTACTACAGACTTTACAGAGAAATTTTCATATTATATATATTGAATGAGATAAGTAACAGATGGGTCAGTTGGTTGTTTGTAGTCTCTAAACTAGATTGATTGGTTGATTAATTGGTGTTTAACGCCACTTTCAACACTATTGTGCTTTTTCGTGGCGGTCAGTTTTTATTGGTGGAGGAAGCCGGAGTGTCTCTAAAATAGAATTATATAGACCAGTATACATATTAATGTCTTTATGTTCGTTTGAACGAAAGAAATTGAGAAAATAATGGTAAGTATAACAAACAAAAATGATCAAATGTGATCTTATCTATTGTTACGGCCAGATTATCTATTGTAACGGCCAGATTATCTATTGTTACGGCCAGATTATCTACTGTTACGGCCAGATTATCTACTGTTACGGCCAGATTATCTATTGCTACGGCCAGATTATCTATTGTTACGGCAAGATTATCTATTGTTACGGCCAGATTATCTATTGTTACGATTATCTATTGTTACGGCCAGATATCACCTTTAAATTGAAACCAAAAAAAAAGACACAAATCAATAATAAAATTTAACAAGATTTATTATACAAATTGAAATGTGAACTTAACTGTTAAAATATATGTCCCATCCTTTGTCTTTTCTTTATAACGGAATTCTTCTCTTCACTGTTACGGGAATCCAAACATAATATTATGTCCAATAAGTTACAATCTAGTATGATGTTCGTAAATAAAAATGCCAATGTAACAACTCCAGAGAACTTCTGAGAATCTGACTTTAGTGTCTGTATATATATAGTTGTCACGGAAATCTCTAGAACATTGTAGAAGAGAAACTTCTAGAATACGGTAGAAGTTTACACATCGTAGATTATGATCATTCCAGAACTATTATGTAAGTCAAATAGAAAGTTCTAATCTTCCATCAGTATCTATGATTGTTCCAGTGATTTCTAAACT